TGGCAGCAGGTTTGGGCAGGGGAGCCCCTGCAGCAATGAGTGACAAACCTCACCCAAGGAAGGGAGGGCTGGATGCGACCCATGGGGACGCAGAGATGGGGGCCACTAATCCTGCCCCACTGCCGTCTTAAGCTCCATTTCCCTTCACTCTCCCCTGACTCAACCCACCCAGCGCTCATCTCTCCGCAGGTCCTGAAAGCCAAACTCCAGCCTCTCCATTAATCTCAGCCACTCGGAGTCATTAGGGGCGGATAAAGCTACTTACCCCAATCCCTTCCTGCCCGTCTCGATCCCAGCCAAGCATTTTACCTTGGCGCCGGCTGCCTCCCGCCATCAACAAGCCAAGGTGTAATGTTACTGTCTGTTTGCTCTCGCCTTTTGGTGGTTTGAGGCTCAAACAAGTCCTTTAAACCTGGCCATGAATCCAGCTGGGGACTGGGAAGGGGCTTTGGGAACAGGGCACAGGCTTGGACTTGGAGAATGGGTCTGCAGGATTTAACCTGGTCCATAGGGACCATGGCAAAGGGCTGCGGGGAGCACAGAGCCACCATGGAGGCTCCTGCCCAAGGGGCTTGGGCTGGTTGAAGTGAGCTGCAGCAGTGTTGCTCCTGTATGGGATTAGAAATAGGGGGTCTGGGAAGGAAGGGCCCCCCAAAAGGCAAAACTAAGGATACCCCAGGTATCCTTTCAGCATCCTTTACCTACCAAGGGTAAAGAGGGCAGGATCAGGCCTGCAGCAAGGAGCAGCACAACTTGAAGCCGTCCCAGAGCAGAGCAAGGGCTCTCCAGGGGGGAAGCCTGAAGGAAACCACTTGAGCAGGGTCTGGGCTTTATCCCTGCCAAAGGGATTTAGCAGATGCTAAAGGGGGGCTGTGCCGCACCCACACACATTGCCCACCCCCTCCCGGGGAACGGGAACTCCTATGATGCATCCATCCTAATTCCTAATTTCCACTGGAGATACAGGCACCGTGTGCAGGGATGTTCCATGGGCAGGAGCAGAGCTAAAACCACAGAGAGGGGCTGGGAAGGCGCTTGTGCATTACCCAGCAATGAGGACCGACCTGTGAGCACTTCTCTCCCCAAGCCACTGTATTCATTCCCCCTCCTGTCCCAGCCCCTCTCTTCCTCGCCTGGTTTATTTATTCAGCCTCCGCTCACAGCCCAGTTTGGCTCTTTCGGTGCTGCAGGAGATACCAACTGAACCCAGACAAAAAGCCAGCTCGGCCCTGTCAGGGCTATCAGCAAACACCAGCACCAGGAATTTTAATTGACGTAGCCGCTCACTGGGCTCCGATAAGACCCAGCATCACCCCACAGCTGGAGGGGTCCACCCTGCTCCCCAAACCCATTTGGGGGGCCCTAACCCCACTCCATGCCCTGCTGGGGCTCTGCTACTGCCCAAGGCAGCACTGGGAGAGATGAAGTGGTGGCTCCCACAGCATCCCCCCCTCTCCCTGGCCTGCAGGAGCTTGGTGGTCTTCTCCCCTTATCAGCCCTTATCTCCTGAAGCCGCTCGCTAATGTGACCTTAATGGAGCTAAAATCGACCTGATTTGCTTTATTGCTGTTTAGCCCAAATCCCCCCCCCCCCCCCCACCCCGCTTCTCGCTGCCCCCTTGTTTCGGGAGCATCGAGAGGGTCTGGCTCCGTCTGCGGGAGCTGCAGGGGGGGCAGCGCATGGGGACACCCCCCCGACGGAGGGGCCAGGGGTGGCGCTTGGCCCGGCGGCTACAGGAGGGTCAGAGCCGGGCAGCGGAGCCCGGAGCGCAGACGGACGGCCCCGCCGGGCCCCCGCCGGGCGCGGGGATGCTGCCCACCCCCTTCTCGGTGAAGGACATCCTCAACCTGGAGCGCACGGACACGGCCGGGGCGGCCCTCGCCCCCCGCAGCCCCGGCGGGGAGGAAGAGCAGCCGCGTAAGTGACCGGTGGGGCCGGGGGGGGGGAACCGGGGCCGGGGGGTGCCCTATGGAGCCGCTTTCGTTCCCCCGGGGTGGAAAAGCGAGGGCAGCGCAGCCGGCCGTTGCATCTTCGCACCCTGCAGGCACGGTCCCGCTGGAGCCGGGGCTCCTCGCCACGGGCCGTGGGGAGTTTCCTCCTTTCCCCCTCTCTTTTTCTCTTTGCTCAATTTTTTTCCTCTTTTCCCCCATTTTTCCCCAGGGTTTAGGGGTTTTGGGGGTTGTTTGGGGCGTTTTCCGGCAGCCCGGCAAGCATCCCGCGCATCCGCCCCGTGCGCCCTCGGGGAAACGAAACGGCCGCCGGCGGGGGGAAAAGATGGATGGGGGGGGGGGGGTTCTGCCGAAAACCCCAAATCGCCACCGTTTCCGAAGTCACAGCCCCCCCGTATCCACGCTCCAGAGCTGGCCCCGCTGGGGACGGGAACCAACGCCCCAAGGGACAACGAGGGGATGCGGCTCCAGGGCGGCCGCCGGGAGGGGATCGGACCGGGTCCATACCTGCCCTCCAGCACCCCGGTTTCCAGCAGTGTCCCGTCCCCCGCACAACCCCTGGCCCCTACTGTGGCTGCCGGGGACCGAGCGCATCCCAAGCAGGATGTGCAGGACCCGTCCGTGGTTGCCTCACCTGCAACACAAACCTCAGCAGGTTAAAACAGACCCAAATAACTCGTTAACATCTTTGCTCAGGTCTGATATTTTCTCCTCCTTCATTCCCAGCCCTTTTCCTTTTTCGGGTTCCCAGCCCTTTTCCTTTTTCGGGGTTTGCTCCCATTCGGGATTCTCCTTTCCTTTGGTGCTGCAGGTAAATCCTGCCGGAGATCTGACTCCCACTGCTCCGAAGCAGGACGGTGGGAAGGGGATTTGCCTTTTGGAGTACTCAAACCTGCGGGTAACCCCCTTTCCCTGTGCTCCTCCAGGCTGGGGCTGCCACAGCAAGCATGGTTAGGAAGGACCGAAAGGCGGCATTATCCAGAATCCATGTAACAGCCTAACTCCATCCCCAAAAGGGGGAGAATTGTTGTGAATTCCCATTAAATACCACAGGAAAGCTGATATGAAACTTGTCAACTCGCAGCCCTACTTCATCTGATTCCCACGGGCCCCATTCCCGGTTCAATCCCTCCTTCGGAAACACTCTCTGGGCGCAGATCCAGGCTCGGCTCTCACTTTGGGTTTTCCTTGCTGCAGGACAACGCTTGCTCGCCGCCCCTCTGGAGGCAGGGGAGCAGAGAGGTGACCCCGGCCAGCACCCCAAGCAGCGGCAGCGGAGGAAGCCCCGGGTTCTGTTCTCGCAGGCACAGGTCTCGGAGCTGGAGCGCCAATTCAAGCACCACAAATACCTCTCCGCTCCCGAGAGGGAGCATCTGGCCCGCGCGCTCAAGCTCACCTCCACCCAGGTGAAGATCTGGTTCCAGAACCGCAGGTACAAGTGCAAAAGGCAAAGGCAGGATAAGTCCCTGGAGCTGGCTGCCCACCCGCTGCCTGCCCGCAGGGTGGCAGTGCCCGTGGTGCTGGTCAGGGATGGCAAACCCTGCCTTGGGGGGTCCCAGCCTTACCCGGCCCCGTACAGCACCGGCCCTTACTCCTACAGCTCCTACTACAGTGCCTATAGCAGCAGCCCCTATGGTGGTAGCTATGGGGGGGGCTATGCTGCGGTGCCCCCCAGTGCCACCCCCAGCAGCCACACTGTGAACGGGAGCTTGGGCACGGCCAGCGCAGCTCAGCACCAGCCCCTGTGCTTGCAAGCCACGGGGCAAGCGGGAATCAGGGCTTGGTAGGTGAGGGCTCATTGGGAAGCACCGAGGAAAACCCCACTGCACTCCAGAGCCCAGCCTGCCTCGGGGTGGGAGCCGGATCCAGAGGTGTCTGACCCCCCGGATGGGGGGATGACCCCAGGACATCCATCCTGTGTCTGCAAAGGCAGGGCAGGAGAGAGGGGGACCCAGGGACTCAAGGTGTTTATTTATTCAGTGCTTTGGAGTCTGATCCTTCCCGCTGCCAGGGGATCTGCTCCTCCAGGCTGCCAGCACAGGACATGAACACTGGATTGCTTCCTAAGGACAGCTGGAATACAGGGTCTGTGCACATCACTGTTCTATGGACACTATTGGAGCTCCTCTGATCTTCTGAGATGCGGTTTTGATCAATATTTCCTAATATCTTTGGTGGTTATTTTGGTCTTTACTATCATTATTTGCAAATAAAACCCCTGAACGGTGAAATGCTTTCAGTCGCTTTGCAGCAAAACCTGTTCCAAAGCAAAACCAACCACACAACCCCCAAATTAATCAACACCAGTAATTAAACCAGAAAGGTAATCACCTTGTGGTCCAAGCCTGGCCTGCAGCAGAGAATCCCAGCCTGGTTTGGGTTGAAGGGATCTCATCCAGCTCCAATCCCTGCCACGGGCAGGGACACCTTCCACTAGAGCAGCTTGCTCCAAGGCCCATCCAACCTGGCCTTGAACACTGCCAGCTGAACAAGCCCATCTCTCAGCATCTTTGCAGCCTCCTCTGCATCCATTGCAGGTGAGCATCCCTCCAAGGCAGCAACCCCTGCTGCTCCCCCCCTCCTCTCACCCAAACCCCACCTTGGAAGCATTTTGACCCCCAAAAGGATGAACTCACTTAAGCATCATCCACCATAAAAGCTCAGGGGGGCAAAGGAGGAGGCTGAGGTTTGGCTGTGACCCCATGGATCCATGGGGAAGGGTGTCCTGAGCAAGGGGGAGAAGCAAGCAGCCGGGGAGCCGGTGGGAGCCAAGACACCAGGGAAGGGCGTAGACTCCTGCCAGGGATCTCCAATCAGGCCCCGGAGGTTTGGCTGCCTGCCCTACAAATGCGGAGCCGGGAGGCTGGGAAGGCCGGGAGGCGCTGGGCAGGGAGAGGAGCAGGAGCAGGAGCAGGAGCAGGAGCAGGAGCAGGAGCAGGAGCAGGAGCAGGAGCAGGAGCAGGAGCAGGAGCAGGAGCAGGAGCGCCGGGCTGGAGGCAGAGAGCAGGCGGCAGCAGCAGCAGCAGCAGCGCCCCGGCAGGGATGAGCTGCACCCCGGCAGGGATGAGCTGCACCCCGGCAGCAGCCCCGCACACGGCGCCCATCGCCTCCAGGCCCCGGACGTCCTTCCTCATCCAAGACATCCTCTGGGATGGGGAGGAACAGGGAGCGCAGCCGGAGAGGGGCAAGAGCAGAGGATTGGGCAGCCAGGACCGGGAGCCAGGGACAGCGGCAGTGGAGGGGAGCAAGGGCAGCTCTGCCCCAGGGCACCCCGCCGGGAGCCCTTATCCCACAGGAGCATCCCAAGCCCGAGGGACACCCCAAGAGGCAGCCCAAGGTAAGGAAGTGGAAGCTCCTGGCTGGGGAATGGATCCGCAATGGTTATGGTTGGGTCAAGGAGAACCCTCTGCAAGGGGCAGCATCCAGACCCGGCTGCTGGAGCCAAATGAGTTGTGCTTTAAATACCATGAGTATCTGTGCTCTAGGGGTGGGAAAGGAGGAGGAATAGCGGCAGTGTAATAGCAAACCTCTCATGGGGCGCTTCAAATAGCTCAAAGGACTGAATCTGCCTAAAACGCCACTTCAAATGAAACCCAATTAATGCATTTCTGTGATTTCTCAGAAAATAAAGTTCCCTTCTATGTGGAACGTGCCCAGCAAAGGCAGCTTGTGCCCATCCTTGATGCCCCCGCAGCTGAGCTCACCGGTGCCTCTGGTCCTTTGAATGTCCCTGTGTTGAATTTGTGCTGTTTGAAGCCCTGATTTCACAGCCTGTACCCCCATACCTGGTTTACTAACAGTAACCTGCTCCCCTTGCACAGCATCCCCTTCTAGCATGGAACTCCCAAATTCCTTCAGGAATAACGTTTCCCTGCTGAAGCCTCCCACTGAAAACCATACTCGGGAGCAAATCTCTGTGCCTGTTGCCCCTTGTGCTGCAGCAGCATGAGCACAGCTGGGGCTGCAGGAGGGGACTTGGCCTTGCCTTGCCCAAGCAGCCCTTGGGCTGAGCTGCACCAGCTCAGCTTTGAGCTCTGTAGTGACTGGCTCTCGCTTGCTGCACCAACCCTTGCCAGGGGAAGGCTGGCTTTAAGTTTCAGTGCTGGGAGAAGGGGTTTCTACATGAAAGCAAGCTCAGAAGCAGCCACCAGGCTGGGGCTAATGAAAACCATCAGGAGCTGCACCAGATCTCCCAGAAAGCTGCTGGTGTCAGTCAGGGCAGCCACAGGGATCTCAGTGGGGCAGCTGTGATTTACACCGGCCGGGAGTCGAGCATCCCGTGCTCCCATCCTGAGCACTGTGCTCTCGACTTCAGGAAATAGACCAAGAAAGAACTAAAGGGAAAAACCCCATCTGGCCCATTCCCGTCCCAAGGTGGGGTTACACAGAAAGGACCTCACTGCATGAATAGACTTGAGGTTTAACACTCCTATGGGATGCTTCCCAGGGAGAGCAGCACCTTTGTGCATCAGGTGCCATGAGAAGCAAGACAAACACTGAGATGCTGCTTTGGGGCTGCAGTGATGTGTGTAAACCCAGGCCTGAAGGTTTAGTTTCTGAACCAAAGTTTCTTGCCATTGCCTTGGAACCATGAAAGCAAACAGGGAGGGATTTATTTCCAGTGCTTCCTCGCTGCAGCCTGCCCTAAGCTGCACTGATTTCCCATTTCTGGGCTCCCCTTTGTAACCTGAGGACAGAAACTTGTTCTCTTTGGGGAGTCAGGATTTTCCCATAGGCGCAAGGGGAGATTTCAAACAAGTGCCTTCATAGTATGAATTCTGCAATGAAATCCTCCAGAGCTGTTGATGCCACGCTGTACATAACGATAGCACCCAGGCAGACCCCCTCCACCACTGCAAACCAGCCCTTTAGCCCATCTGAGTCCCTTGAATGTATATTCCTATTGAATGGCAGGGATGGGGCAGCCACAGCTCCTCTGGGCACCCTGTGCCAGCACCTCAGCACCCTCACAGGGAAGCTTCTGCCTAAGAGCTCATCTCAGTCTCCCCTCGGGCAGGTTAAAGCCATTCCCCTTGTCCGAAGCCTCTCTCCAGGGACACCCATCGCTATTTCACTCTCTGCAAGGGGAACATCAAGTGACCGGGGCTCTTTCCAAGCGGCTCATTCCCATCTCTTTCCTCCCACAGACAGCCCAGCGGAGCCCTACCCGTCAGCCTGTGCCCCCCCACTGCAGCCCATGGCCCCGTGTCCCCCCAAGCAGGCGAAGCGCTCGCGGGCAGCCTTTTCCCACAGCCAAGTCCTCGAACTGGAGAAGGAATTCAGGCACCAGCGGTACCTGTCTGCCCCCGAGCGAGCCCGCCTGGCCCGGGCCCTGCAGCTCACCGAGACCCAGGTGAAGATCTGGTTCCAGAACAGGAGGTACAAAACCAAGCGGAAAGAGGTGGCCTCCGGCATCCCCAGGCTGGGCACGCCGAAAGCCACCGAGCTCCATGGAGCATCCCTGCTGGCGCTGCGGGGCGGATGGCACCCCCTGCCCTGCCTCTACTACCTGAGCGCCTGGAGCCCTGGCTGGTAGCAGCTGCTTGTGAGCAGAAAGCAGCCTTTCGTCCTCTGTGGGTGGGGGTTTTAATCCTGCCTTGCTTTTTCTAGTGTTAATCGAGACCCTGCGCACAGCAATGATCAGCATCTAGGTGCCGCACAAGCCTCTCTTGTTGCTAACAGAAAAGAACCCAAACAGAGCCCCCAGATCCCCCCTCAAGCTTTTAATTCAGCTCATTTGATAGCGCTGTTACGAGGTGGAACTGCAGCTGTAAAACACTGAAGGCTTTTCGGGGGGGGGGGGGAGAAAGGGATGGCATCTCTGCCATTGATAGCATCACGGTTCATGGTCCCAGAAGGGACTTAGACCCCCCCTAATACTCCCACATGCTGTCAGGCAGCACCACAGGTAACGCAGGTGGCTTTTGGGGTGAACTAAACCCCTTTCCGCTATGAGGGACAGGAGCCTGAAGTGCCGATGGCCCCAGCTCACCCCAACCAACCCCATCCCTCTGCCCCTGGATGCTGAGATGCCAACTGCTGCTGCCGGTGCCTTGAGAAGCCAAACCAGCCCCTCGGGAACGCGGACAATAGCGCAGTGACAGATGAGCTTTGCATATCCGGGTGTTGCTGCTGTTTGAACATTCCCATATGAGCTGTTTAGAATAGCAACGGCTCCAAGAGCTCGACGCTCCCATCAGCTTCCAAAGCAGCAAACTCCCTGTTTGCCACTGAAATCAGCCTGAACCCCACATCAGGACATGGGGACAAGAAGAGGATGAGACCTTTACAAGTGGTTTCTTAGTGAGACAATCATTTGCACTGGTAGAAGAGCAAAGACTGGGGTTTTTTTGCACCTAATCATACTTAAAACTTGAGATGTCACTAAATCCATGGGAGAAAGTGTAAAAATAAATGAGGTTTCCAAGAGAAGGAACACAGCAACTGCTTTTTCTCACTCGTGTCGCTCAGCAAAGCTCTGCTGGAACACGTAGAATACCCTGGGATAAAACAGAAGTAGAGGTTTCTTCCCTGTGGAGCACCAGAAAAGTGCCTGTGGTGCCTGCTCTGACAGAGAATTCAGAATCACCTTGGTCCAACCCCCTCCTGCAGCAGGGAAATAGGGAATTAAACCAGAACCCGCTTAGATCTGTCCCTTTAAAGCAGATTATTTGGAAGCTGAGCTTTTGCCTTGCCAATCGACTCGAATGGTGCAAGCTCGCAAAGATGAAGCTGCTGGGGGATGCGGACGAGGGAGGATGGGGAGTGCAGAACGTGCGAACTGAAGCCCTTTGCAGTAGATACTCATGTGCTCTCGCTATCAAAGCCCTTGCTGGCTTTGGAGGACAACCAGTTGCTTTCTAATAGCCTGAAAGAAACCCTTAATATCTGGAGATATCATTTCCCTTCCAGCTCCTGCTCTCCGATGCTGCGTGGCCCTGGTGCTCGAGGCAGACGTCTCCCCTGCACTGTTGCAATGTGTTTCAAACCCAGCCCTGCTGCTTATCCACTTTGCACTTTGCTTATCCACTGCTTGGAACAATAAAATAAAGCCCTTCTGGCCTCAAAGCCAAGCCCCAGCAGGGCACGGATTCCTCTCCAGGGGGAAAAGGCCCTGCCAAACCTCAGGATGCTGCTTAAATCAATGCAGAGACACTGAACGTGCACCAAATGCACTGGATTAGCAGCTCTGAGCATCACGGAGCTGCCCCTGAATAGGGGTCCCGGCGCATCCTTTGCACAGAAGAGCAGCAGGGATGGGCACATAACATTGGGAAGGACTGAATTGGGCTGGGAAGATCAGATCTAAACTGAAAATTAGCTCTAAACTGAACATCTTGCCTGCTTCTTTGGGAAGATGGGGTGTAGCTGCTTCTTTTCTCCCCACTGATGGTTTGTAACTAATAAATGCCCTTCCTGCTGCTTCGACACCCAGCTGCTCATGGGTAACCCCTGGCACAAAGCAAGGCCAGTGCAAATAGTTGCTATTTTTGTACCTGTTTTTTGATACTATTTCATCTGATTTGTGTTGTCCTTTGGAATAAAGAGCTCGGAGTCTTTACTAAAAACCAGCTGCCTCTGTGGGGTTTTTGCCCTGGGTTTGGGGGTTCTTTTGAGCCTGTTTCTGGCCATGGGTGTCCCGTCAGCTTCTCCCATGAACAGCTCCTGCAGATGCTGCACCCAAGTGAGTTTTGTGCAGTGAATTGTCCTGAGCTCACAAGGTGGGAAATCATCATCGCTGTTTCTAGCTACTCCATCACCCATGCAGCCAAGCATAGGGTGTCTGATCATCCTCTAATCCCATTTACCATCTGATGAACACAAAACAGGTGACTGCTTCCCAAAAGCAAGAGCTTATATAGTGAAGTATCTTACTTATCACCCCCAAATTACCCCTAATCCCGCAGTTTAAGCCTAATCCCAGCGGCCTCCGGAGTTTTGCACCACGAGCACTGCTCCCAGGTTTTATTTCTGCCCCTGCCTTCCCCTCCTGCAACCCCATCAGCACAATCGGGGCAGTGCTGGGCTCCATAAGGAGAAGGATCCATCCTGGGAGCTGTCGGTGTGAACGTTTCCCCTCGTACAGGGGTGGAGAGGGACCAACCTTGGGCACACACTCCCTCCCTTCTGCTGTTGGCAGCAGCAGCTTTTCCCGAATGGAAAGCAAAGTGCAGTAACTACCATTGCCCCCAGCTTCAACAGCTTTAAAAGGGAATAAATCGAAGCCAAAGCAAGCATTAAGATGGCAAAATGAGCAGGTTCTGGCTCAGACGTTGGTGCTGGTTGGAGGCAGGGGTGCTGGCAGCAGCTCCGGCTCCTTTGCAGCCTCTGCCATGGAGAAACATCTTGGCTGCGTCCCCTGTTGCATCACGCCCTGCCCTCCCTCCTCTCCTTCTCTCTACAACCCCCAAGTGGTTTCTTTATGGGCAGAAGATGGACTTCCAGTCGGTTTTTCCTTTTCTTGTCCAAGCACAAAGCACGAGGACAAAAAGGAAGGGCTGTGCCATTTGGATAACCAAGGCATCGGAGGGTGTTACAGCATTAATCACAGCGGGAATGACATGGGAGGCTTTCCCGCTGATAAATAGCCCCTTGATTCATAAAGGAAAGAAAAATCCCCCCCTTAACTATGGGGACTTGGAGTTTTAATGAGCCTTAACAAAGGAGAACTCCTGTTTGTACACAACTGGAAACAGAAAGCATCATTTAATGTCTGTCAATTAATGTCACGCTCCGCCGCTAACGCATCCATCAAGATTAAACAGCTTCTAATGCTGACATAACATTTACACTGCTTTGTGCCAACTCATTTATTTCAAGCTAGGGGGAAAAAAAAAAGGCAAGAAAGAAAGAAAAAAGGCTTCCTTTGGACAATGTAACTGTTGACTAACATTTGCATGCAATAAACCACATACTTGGCACAGGCTCGCAGGACTCGGGCCAAGAGAAATCTTCAACTTGACCTACACAACATTTGCAAAGCAGAGCAGTGGGAACAAGATTGCTACACGGAGCTAAATAGGGGATGGAAAATGCAAGGACACTGCATCAGGCTGGTGGTTCCCCTGGTTTTGGTATCAGTACAAAGATGCTTTGGAGGGAGACACAGAAAACCTTTCGGCAATGAGCACTGGGATGCACCTTTGGGGATGCGCGGATGCTTCCCAAGGAAAGAGGCAAACTAAGCCATAAAGCACAAGGGTTTGGAGCTCTTAAAACCCTTGGGGACTTCCAGTATTTACTATTCTTATAGTAGATGCTCTTACCCACAGAAATGCTTTATCCCCTTCTAACCCAGGTAGAGCCTCTGTGGCAAGGCCATCCTATGACAGGGAGTCCCAAACCCCATTTTGAGCCACTGGGACCACTTGGTGCTTCCTCTTGCTCCTTGAGCCATCCTGGCAGCAGCAGTGCCAAAGGGGGGACAGGGAAAAGCTGAGTGGCAGAGTCATCGAGGCAGATTTTCACCATGATGGACAATTGATGGGGCAAGAAAAGGGGGCAAAAAGAGTAAGAAGTACTTTGGAGATGCAGCAAAACACAGTTTCATTGGTGGCATTCCCATGGGAGACTCCTTTGCTGCTTCCCTCAAAAACCCAAGGCAAATTCCTCCTCTTTCTTCTGTTATGGTCTGAGCACCATTTATTAAGAACAGCCAAAGGAGGAGAGAAATCCACAGCAAAGAGCCCTGGAAGTGCTTCCAAAGCCGTCCGGCTGCAGGAATTTATGGCAGGCCACTCGCAGAAGGGAAAGTCGGGAGATAAGACAAGTAGTTTTACAGGAAAAGGAGTCGGGAGCGAGGCAAATACGGGTGGGTTCGTGCTGAAGTGCTCAGGTCTTGGGAGAAAAAGGAAACGGGGCCAAGAAAAAGGCTTTTGGAGTCAGGTACCGGGTGTGTGAGCAGATGGATTCAGGCTCCTTGCTGTATCCCCAAGGTAGGAAAGGGAAGGTGTCACCATGGTCACCTCACTACAGCCAAGGACCCCCCGGCAATGCCCGTCCTGGGAACAGGGAGGGGGAAAGCCATGGAAGGAGCTGCAGCATCCGGGCTCTGCCTCCATCCCTGCGGCCCGGGGGAGTTGCCAGCTATGGCAGGGAGAGCAAGGACATAAGGGAGGCTCTGGCTCCCACGGGACATTCCCACTGGATAGTGCCGGAGCTGGGGGGGGGAACCTCTGCAGAGTCAGCAGGGGAGGATGCTCACAGCACTGTGGTTGGTTTTCCCCTGGTCTTGCAGCACGAGGGTTTGGGTTTCCAAGGGCCATCAGCCAAGCACGGTCTCCCCAGCTCTTCTCATCCAGAGCCTTTTGGGGCACCCAGATTCCTAGAAAAGCAAGTTTATTCCAGGCTCCAGGTGGTATAACCTTGGAATGAGGCCGATCTCCCCTCGGCCATGCACATCCCCTCGAGCCCTGACTCCTCCTGAGCCTCCCAGGGATATTCCCAGCTTGGAAGGGCGTGATTTTACATCCTCAGTGTCAAACAGTCTGCATTGCCCTCATCAGGGCAAAGGAGGAGAAAGGGACCCCATCCTGAGGAGCCCACGCTCCCAAGAGGAGGTAAACCCAGGGATGGCAGCAAAGCCTCCGTGGTACTTTTCCATGGCCCAGGAGGCAGACAGGGTCCTGCTCGCGCTGCACCAGAAAGCCCAGGGATTAGCACAAGTCTGTCTGCAAACAGAGCCTGGGTGGGGGCACCCGGTGCTCCTCACCACTCCCCTCGGGATAAAAGACTGGGAGAACCGAGCCCTATAGAAGCAGTTATTCACTTGGAGCCACTTTCTCATGGGGTCCAGCAGCACCCGGGCCTCTGGGGTGGGGATTGGCAGGATTTACCCTGCCAGTTCCCTCACTTCCTCTGCAGGAAGGTGGCAAAAGGCTTCACAAGCATCATCCCATCAGCTGGGACCAGGGCAAAGCGCCCCAAAGGCCAGATGCTGCCCTCAAGCATGTGCAGATGTTCCCCACCACCACCCCAAGCTGGGTCTGGAGCTCCCTTTATACCCAGATAACATTAATCCTCCTTCTAGACTGCAGCAGCCGGGAGCTCTGCCAGTGTCTATGGGACGGGTGTGCTGTGAGGGATGCTCACGTCCAAGGCAGGGCAATGCTCAGCTCCCAGGCGAGTTTCCATTAGAAACAGAGTTCTCCCCACATGCCACCGTTCTAATGTGGGTATCCACACTGCCCCCCCAGCAAACAGCTGCCTGCATCCACTTTTCCCCCTAGAACAAGGCAGGGATGATTCAGGTCTTCACCCATCTCAATTCAAGAGCCAGCCACTCCGTTGAATTAAAGGGAGATGGAGATGGTCAAAGCTAAACCAAACCTTCCTAGCCCCAGGACTGCATCCCAAAGGCACAGCCTGGTCCCCAACAGCACAGGCAATGTGGAACACTGGGGGGTTTCATGCCGACTAATAGGTAAAGGGAGAACTTTAGGGCAAAAATCCTGGAGCATCTGAGGCATCTCTGCAAGATCTGAGGCACCACAAGGCAGCCTCATGCCTGGGCACCAAGTACCAAGACATCATCTAATCGAGGGTCTGGAACTCTCCGGCTTCAGAAGAGGGACCAAAATCTGCTCCACGACACCAAAATCTGCTTCATTTCACCCCAGTTTAGAGCCCAGCAGGAGACAGGGCCACTCTTTGCTCTCCCAACCCCAACAACCTGGAGCATCGTTATCAGATGAGCACTATTTCCCCCCCTGCGTGCTGAGAGGCGTTTTGCTGGGTGTTGATGGCACATCAACCCTCCCCATCCCCTGTTTGCGCTGGTGAAAGGAGGAATTACTGCAGTATTTATCTACCACACTCTCTTTCACCGGGAGATTCCGCATCTGCTTTGCAAAGCAGCCCTGGGGCACGGCTCACGCTAAAACCCCACTTGCTAAAGGCACCACAGGGGGCAAAGCTTTAAAGCAAATAAAACAATGGCGATTTAGAAAGGAAGGCGCTTGACTGACTTGAGCTGCGCTGGGGTCAGGGCTGCGCTGGCCAGGGCGGACCTGGGCAGCTTCGGGAGGGTTTGGTTTATCCCAGGCAATAGCAAACAGGCTTTTGGTGTGTAAATCACAGCAGGTGAAAAGCAAACGGGGGGGAAAGGAAAGCCTGGCCTTGCTGCTCACAGGGAGTAAGGGAAGCAAAGGTGAGGATGCTGCACTGGGGATGTATATTGTAGGTTGAGGGTAAGGGAGATGCTTAATTCCAGGACCAAAAGCCTCACGGCCAAAAACTGGCACTATCTGGGGCTGGAATCACGTTCATCTCCTCCACAGCCATTCACATCCAGGGCTTGGCTGCTCAGCTCTCCACAGCAGATTTACACCTGCAGAAAACACTTACCTGTTCTACAAAGGGATCCCTTGTCTTTCAGAAGGAATTAAATCTCATGGATAAATACAAGTGGGTTTATTCCCTTTGTGCACAACTGTGGCAGAATAAGATAGCGACTCGAGGTGTGGCCGGAAAACCTTTCCCTCCATGGCCTGCATCTTGTCACCCAAGGTAAATACGCAGCTTAATGAAATTTCAAGAGGGAAGGGGTGAAATATTTGCCTTTATGTTC